CACATCACTGATTCAGCCATAGAAACCCCCACCTCAGATTTTCAGGACAGTTTTTTCTTTGGTTTCACATACCCACACCACCCCCAACTTTGCACTGTACCAGTCACAGAACCCCAAACTGGTTTGGGTTGGAAGGGACCTTAAAGGTGACCTAGTTCCAACCCCTATGGATGGGCAGGGACACCTCCCACTCGATTGGGTTGCTCCAAGACATTCCCCCTCATCCCATCCCTCCCTGCCCTTGTCCCAAGCCCCTCCCCAGCTTTCCTGGAGCCCCTTCAGGCACTGGAAGCTGCTCTAAGGTCTCCCTGGAGCCTTCTCTTCTCCAGGCTGAACACCCCAACTCTCCCAGCCTGGCTCCAGAGCTGCTCCAGCCCTCCCAGCATCTCTGTGGCCTCCTCTGGACTCTCTCCCACAGCCCCATGTCCTTCTTGTGTTGGGGACCCCAGCCCTGGCCCCAGCCCTGCAGGGGGGTCTCAGCAGGGTGGAACAGAGAGGGACAATCCCCTCCCTGGCCTTCTGGTCACACTGCTGGGGATGCAGCCCAGTCTCCTCCTCTCCACTCCATTTGCAGCAATGGAGCACTGTGTTCCCCCATCCAATTCCCACCTTCTCCTCTGCTTCCTTTCTCCTGGGGTTGAAACTGGATGGCCTTTCAGGTCCCTCCCAACCCAAACCACTAAATGATTCTGTGCTGTCCCAGCACAAGGCTCTGCCCAGAAGTGGCTGTGGCCAGGTGTGAATGATGCATGAAGGTCCTTGCATTTCTCCTTTGGCACATACCAGGGACTAGATTAGATGGCAAGGACCAGGGTCAGATTTTCCAAAGAGCATGTACCTCAAACAGGAGCAACTGTTCCTCCCAAGCATCTTCCCCCTTGTCAAACACATGAAGTTATGACCATGCTGAAATGTTTTAAGATCTGAGCCTCAGGTATGATACCAACTCTGCCACTGAGAGTGGATATCCAGCCATTAATGACAAGAGCTCTCAGGACACTTCCCAAATGCAATCTCTTTGAAAAGGAGCAGATAATCTTGCTATGACCCTTTTGAGTCTTCTGGGCAGGGCCCTGAGATATTTGAAATTGCTCATTACATTCAGTTCTTACGAAGTTGAATGCTTTGCTGGGTCCCTCTAACCCCATCATCTCAGACAGCACAAGCTGGAAAATTCACCCAGGATCTCCATCTACAGAAAGGACCCAAAGGGAATGCACACATGGAAGAAAGCAAAACACAAACAGATATATTTGGCTTCTTTGCTGTAATGAGAGCCATGCAACTGTGTGGCCATGGAAACCAGTTCAGCCTTCTCCTTTTGCCAGTGCACAGGAACCTGTGCTTGCTAAACTTCATTCCTCCCTTCCTCACTATGGGGAAGAGCTCAGCCAAGTGTCTTCCCTTGCACAGATACTGCCTTGGATTTCCAACCCACTAGAAATGAAGTGACATATTCCAAGAGACTTGGAAACCTTCAGGTGTCAAGTGCTGACCCACTGACCTCTGAACACATCAAGGGAGAAAAACAACCTGGAAGGCTGGATCCCAGTTTGTCCTGCTGTGTCAACACACCTTGCACCTCTGAGGTCTCTTACCACAAGCCTAAGACCAACAGGATCAGTCCTAAGTGAAGATGGATCTTTAATATGTTGAATGTCAAAAAGTGTCACCTGGTTGGGCAGGATGAACATGGATAAAGATGTGAGCACTAAGGAGAGAGGGACTGGGAATGTCTCCAAGAAGCACCATGGCAGCAAGGGTGGAACCTGAGTCAGATGCTGTGGGCTCTGGCCACAGACACAGGGGCACCAAGAGCTGGTTCCTGGTCCTGCTGCTCTTATGCCTGGGAAAATGTTGTTATGATGGGAAACCTTTAGCCTGGAAACCAGCACAAGACTGGAGTGTTATGAAGGCAGGGGGAGCTCTCAACTTCAGTTCTCCAGCATGGGGAAACACATAAAGGAGTTCCAGGGGCAGATCTCTATCTGCAGGGAGATACTGCTGCTCCTGGAGACACTTTTGAAAGAAAGCTGGAGCAGACCTTGTGAAACTGATGGCTGAGGTACCTGCACCCTGTCCTCCCATGCCAGTGCAATATATACACCCTGGATGGCAGCAGGAACCTTGCCTGATGGTGGAATAAGCCCTCAAAAGGCTTTCCAAGTCCATGAGAAGGGAGAATGGGAGATGTTGCAATCCTGATGGGACAGTAAGGTCAGGTGTCAGGTTGCTGAACCTGCAGGTTTCTTTACCAGCATCAAGCACCATGGGCTGGTGGCACAGAGGACACACAGCATGGCTACATCAGGGCAGCAATCCCCTTCCACCTGCCAGCCAGGATGTCTCCCCAGAACCCCTCCTATGGGCAAAGACAACAGTTTGTGCATCATTAATTCAGACATCACCCATCCTTGGAGATGCAGGAAGGTAGGAGGTGAACCTGAACACTCCTGTGAGAAATAAGAGCAGACTGCAGCAGCACATCAGTTTGAGGGGCAGGAACTTGGCATGCCAGGACCAGGACTGCCTTGGCCATGCCCCTTGTTGGGCTTCCTGGGAGCAGACAGAGCCTGAGGGTAAAACATACCCAAGAGAGGTCCCAGACATGAATTCCAACTGCAGAGTCCTCTGGGACTTGGGGCTTTGTGTCACTTCCCATTCTCTGGTTGCAAAGACATTCAGCACCAGAAGAAAAACCCTGCTTCTGATGGTGGTGGATTTCATACCAAATTCTCCTTCTCCTTTGTAAGTGGTTCTCCAAGCCTGCAATCCTGGTGGCTGCTCTACCCCCCTCCCTCCCAAGTCAGGATACATAGATGAAGACTCCAGAAGCAGAAGACCTCTTAGGGTGTGACCTTCACTCTCCCACCTCTTCAGCTTAAGCTGGAGGCAAATTCCACCCACATCTTGGTATCATGAAGGTCACTCTGATGGTTGCTGGCAGACAGGTTGGCTTCTAACACAAACCTTTTAGAGGGAAGAACAGTGTTTTGAAGACTCTCCAGTTTAACAACTCCAGGGGCTGATCCAGTGTATTTTCTAAACTCTGTAGAGAAAAAACCCTTTAGTTGAAGTTCTTGACACGTTTTTGAGATCTGGCAGTGAGGCACATCTTGAGAAACATGAGGCCTCAAGAAGTGACTTTACAGAGACCTGGAAAGCAGCTGGCAAGAGAGGGTATGGAGCAAAACCTTGTCCTTGCAAGCACCAGCCAACAGGGAAAGCTGAAGGGACCCAAGGAGAAGCCAACAGATTTCACACTGCACCTCCACCAAAGAAACCAACCAATTACTTTGATAGTGGGAGATGAATGCAGATGGTTTCCACTCCAAGGGTGCCTGATGCTTTCCAAGGGGTTCAGCTCAGCTAAATGAGGCAGCAGAGACTTGCTGTCAAGTGGAGCTGCAAACTCTGTGCATTTCCACGTGGCACATAAGTTCTGCAGAAATAGTTCTCCTGTGTTTCAAGAGGAAGCTCACATTCCTCAAACATGAGTTAATCCTGCTCTGCCAAGTGATCATGGCTGCTGATCCATAAAGCCACATATAGGGCTTGTAAGCAGGGATATCAGAGCTGAGGAGACTGGCCTAGAAATGAAGATCTGGAAGGGCAGTGTAAAGATCTGTAGGATGCCAAAAAGGGGCCAGTAACTGGAATCCTCCTCTGGGCACTTCATACAGAACAGCTGGTTTTGCCAAGTAAATACTATTTTTCCAGGGCACTTGATTTTGATGTTGATTTTGATGTTGTTTCTTGCTTGATTTGCATCTCAGCCTTGGCTGGAAGCCCTGCAGACACTTAGGAACAGCAGCCTGCTCTCTTTGATACTGGTGCCAGAAAAGCTGGCACCTGCCAGAGCAATCCAGCTGCCTCCCTCAGCACACAAGACATCCAGGACCTGAAATGGGCTGCATGTTCACAGCCACGTGCCATTTTTGTTTGCTTTCCTCCTCTGGAGTCACCAGGACACTAACCCTGACACATCCCATGGTTCAAGGGAGCCCCCCTGCCAGAGCAGGGGCACCCAGAGCACATCACACAGGAACGTGGCCAGGGGGGTTGGAATGTCTCCAGAGAAGGAGACTCCACAGCCTCTCTGGGCAGCCTGGCCCAGGGCTCTGGCACTCTCACACCAAAGAAGTTCTTCCTGAGATTCACAGGGAACCTCCTGGGCTCCAGTTTGCACCCACTGCCCCTTGTCCTGTCACTGGACATCACTGCACAAAGCCTGGCTCTGCCCTCCTGACACTGCCCTGAACAGATTTGTGCCCATGGATGAGGTGGCCCCTCAGTCTCCTCTTCTCCAAGCCCAACAGCCCCAGCTCCCTCAGCCTTTCCTCAGCAGGGAGATGTTCCCCTCCCTCCAGCATCTCTGTGCCTCTGCCCTGGGCTCTCTCAAGCCCTACAGAATTACAAGCTCACCTAACTCATCAGCCAGCAAGGAGTAACAAGGTGAGGCTCTGTGGATGCCCAGTTGTACCTCACACTTCCAGGTCTCCAACAGCAGCTGATCAGAGCAGGAATGAGGAACTGCAGACACCTTGATGGAAAAGACCAGCCTGTTACTAACACAGCCCATTCTCCTTGGGATGCTACACAACCATGGCATCCTCAGGGCATTTTCTATGAGAGCTTCATTCTCCCATGTCCTGGAACAGCCACATCAAATGGAAACTCACTCTCTGCCAGCTCTGCTTTCTCTAGGACTGCAGCCCCTCTTGCAGAGCTGGAACAGTTTGGCTGTGTTTGAACACCAACCTTTTCATCCATTGAGAAACTCACTGGTCATTTCTTTGACCTAAAAACTCTGGCAGAATTTATATAAACCCCCCAACAAACTCTCCCTTCAGCAAGGGGGGGCACCTCCAACTTTGGATGCCTTTCCCAACCCAAGTGAAGTTGGGTTCTTCATGAAGTGCCTTCATTTCAGTGCACACTAGAGCCTGCCCATACTTTTTGGCCTGAGCTGTGCCTGCTCCAGGAGCATTCCCACCTACCTCTTTGACTGCTTCTGGAAGTCCTGCCTCCCCTGGAGCCAAGCCCTCCAGGTCTGCTCCCTGCTGGGTGGCCTCTGAGATCAGCTTGCTGTGCCACAGGGTGATCTCAATGCCTGAGCTCTCCCTGCTGGCCACTGAAGAGGAAAACAAAAGGAAAGATATTTTAAAAAGCACAGAATTCAGGGAGAACCTGAAGGCTTCAGCTTTGTCCAGTCCACATTGACATCAGAATTGACCTCTTTTGGGTAAAGGAATTGAGCAACAGCAGGCAAAAACCCTCCCAGACCTCACTTCTCGCTGCTTCTCCAGCTTCAGGTGAGATGGTTTTCCAAAGCACACCCTTCCCAAAAGAGCCACTGACAACCTCAAAAGGCAGGCACGATTCTCCCAAGGCTCAGGATCTTTTCTCTGCCCCAGTTACAGACACCCTGTTCTGACTTTTGCAGAGAAACAGGCATTTTTTGAGGCACAATTTGCCTCATCCAAGGGCAGACACACAAAAAGCAGCTGGATGCACCACTAGAATGGCTGGAGAGCAGCCCTGAGGAGAAGGACTTGGGGGTGGGAGGAGATGAGAAGCTCAACATGAGCCACCAGTGTGAGCTGGAGCCCAGAGGCCAATTGTGTCCTGGGCTGCATCTAAAGAAGTGTGGGCAGCAGGGCCAGGAGGGGATTCTGCTCCTCTGATCTGCTCTGCTGAGACCCCACCTGGAGAGCTGGGTCCTGCTCTGGTGCCCTCAGCAGAAGAAAGATATAGACCTGTTGGAGAGGGTCCAGAGAAGGGCAACCAAGATGGTAAAAGGCCTGGAGCAGCTCTGCTATGAAGACAGGCTGAGAGAATTGGGGCTGTTCAGCCTGGAGAAGAGAAGGCTCCAGGGAGACCTTAGAGCAGCTTCCAGTGCCTGAAGGGGCTCCAGGAAAGCTGGGGAGGGGCTTGGGACAAGGGCAGGGAGGGATGGGATGAGGGGGATGGATGAAAACTGGAAGAGGGGAGACTTAGGTGAGATATTAGGAAGAAGTTCTTCACTCTAAGGGTGGTGAGGAACTGGGATGGGTTCCCCAGCAGGTTGTTGATGCCCCATCCCTGGAGGTTTTTAAGACCAGGTTGGACAAGGTTTTGTGCAGCCTGGTCTGGTGGTTCCCTGCTCATGGCAGGGGGGTTGGAACTAGATGATCTTTAAGGTCCCTTCCAACCTTAATGATTCTATGATTTTATGATTCTAAGAGCTGGTTTCTTTGCCCTGAGGGAATGGAGGAGTTGGGATGGAGGTGTCTGCCCCGTGGCACCTCCCTGCAGGCAGGTGAAGCCCAGCTGATGCCAGCAGGGCCAGTACTCACAGCTGGGCTCTGGGCAGCCTCCTTCTCCTGCTCCACAAGACCACCAACCTGAGCACTCCTCACACATGAGATGTTGACCATTTGGGGGGGAAAAGAACAAGCAGGAAAACTCAGAGCAAGTCAGAGGCTGAGGCTTTTGTAGGAGAAACCAAACCAACAAAAAGTAGTTCATCCAAGACACTTGTGTGTGGTTTTTGTTTGCATGCTTAGGTATTTTAATCATTTTGGTTCAGTGACAAACAGAACAATCTATTATTTGCACAGCCCCTGGGACCCAGGAGACATACAGTGCTGGGTAAGAAGAGAAAGCTCTCCCAGATGGAGAAGGAGGCAATGCCAGGCTGTGGGAATAAGAAAGATTCTGAGTTTATGTGAAAAACTCCCTGGACAAAGAATTCTTGGAGATATGAGTCTACTCTACAGCTGAGGGAACCTCAGCAAGCAGTTGAGCTCTGGAGGGTTTGGGTATGACTTGGATGTGCTCCACATGGATTAGGGGGTGGTTTACAAACAAAAATATCTCCCCTGTTCTCCCACTGGAATGTTTCTGATTTGATGACACCAATTTGAGTTGTGAATGCACTCCCACCTCTGCTGCTGGAGCCAGGTGAGCTCCACAACCACTGGGCAAGTTGTCCTCCTTGTCTCAAACCATTCCCTCCCTCTCCATCTCCACGATCAGAAAGAGCTGTTTGCTCATCCAATTCGAGGAGATTCAGCTCTATTTAATTCAGGAATGCTCCTGCTTGGAATGGGTATCCCCACCTGATCATTAAGCATGTTGGGAGGCCAGTGTTTCAGGAAAGCAATCGTGCTGAACAAAAGACAAAGCAACCTGCCTGTTGGGAGTGTTTGCTACAGAGGAAATTATCAGCATTATGAGCACAGTTTTGCTTTCTATTAAGCACTCATTTACATTTCACTGCATGTTAATTTAGTTCTTCATTTGGACGTGAGTTTGGAGCTAATGAAGTTGGTTTCTCTCCCTGAACAGCTCAGGGTTGTGCCTAAGCCCAGGTAAGACATTGTCTGTTCTTCATGTCAGGACACCTATGAGGTTTTACATATTGGCTTTCAAAGCAAGTGCCATCATTTGAAGTCACCAATGGACCAGAGTTTGGTAAAGCTGCCTTGTCTGTGAAGCATTTATTATGTGAAAAATTGGACTTGATGATCTTCAGAGGTCCCTTCCAACCCTGAATGATTCTATGATGCTGCTGCTTCTGAGTGATTCAAAACCAGGAACTAATTTGACACTGGAGGGAACAGCTCCCCTGTTTTCCAGAGGTGACATCCTAGTTTCTACTCTAGCAGTGTCAAATTCAAGAAAGGAGCCCAACAGGCCTCTGTCCCCACTGCTCATTTCATCACAAAGCAGCCACCTCCTTGTTGGCCCAGTCCTCCCACCCCATTGCTCCCAGACCATTCCTGTTGCAATGGAATGGCCACCCCATTCCCTTCCAGGGAAGTAAGATTAAAAGAGCACAATGAAACCCAGACAAACATCCAAACTTCCTGGCAACTCCCAGGCTCTGAAGTTTAGTATTCCCATACCTTTGCCATCAGAGACACTTCCTGTGGCCACCAGGTGGTCCAGGAGCAGCTGGAGACCAGGGAATGATGCTTTCACAGCCCCCAGAAGTTTGACCAGACTTTCTGCTTCCAGGGTTTTCTCTTCATCCACCTTCCTGAGCAGATTGTCCCTGGCTGCCCTCAAAGAGCTTCACAGCCACCCAAACCCACCTGTGACAAAGAGCCAAGAATCTGTTGCTGAGAGTTTCCTACAAACTCTTGGATCTGCACAGAGATGAGAGGGAAAGGAACAGCACTGCAGTGAATCCATATTCACTGCTTCCACTCATTGGGTTAACTGGGAGGTGTTAGGAGGTCCTAGATACAGGAGGGTCCAAACACATCTCAGGTGCATCTCACATGTGTCACCTTGAAAACAACCCTGGTGTCCTGGTTTGAGCCAGGATGAAGCCAATTTTTCACCTGGTGGGCTCTTCCACCAACTTCACCTCTTAGAAGTGGCTGACAAGCAGAAATCCTTTTTCAAAGGCAACAAAAATAGACTGAAATGCAGGGTTCAAAACAACATTTCATTTAATATTTTTAGCCAATACCCTTTAAATTGGCAGTCCCTTTTCCCTTGCTTCCCCAGTTTTTCTGTTTGTCATCAAAACACAGAGATGGACAGGAAAAAACCTCACTACTTTTATTATTTAAATGAGTATCCATGAACAGAATGATCATTTCTATGACAAGGCCACCTAAGAAATCTCTTATGTGAGATACAATCACCACAGCTTGGAATAGCTCCACTATGCCAGTATAAGAATCACAGAAGGGTTTGGGTTGGAAGGGGCCTTGAATATCTTCTAGATCCACCCCCTTGCATGGGCAGGGACACCTCCCACCAGCCCAGGCTGCTCCAAGCCCCATCCAACCTGCCCTTCAACACTGCCAGGGATGGGGCAGCCACAGCTTCCCTGGGAAACCTGGGCCAGGCTCTCACCACCCTCACACCAAAGAATTTCCTCCTAATATCTATTCTAAATCTTCTCTGTTTCAGCTTGAAACTGCTTTCCCTCATCCCATCCCTCCCTGCCCTTGTCCCAAGCCCCTCCCCAGCTTTCCTGGAGCCCCTTCAGGCACTGGAAGCTGCTCTCAGGTCTCCCTGGAGCCTTCTCTTCTCCAGGCTGAACACCCCAACTCTCCCAGCCTGGCTCCAGAGCTGCTCCAGCCCTCCCAGCATCTCTGTGGCCTCCTCTGGACTCTCTCCCACAGCTCCATGTCCTTCTTGTGTTGGGGACCCCAGAGCTGTTCCCCCCTGCAGGAGGGTCTCAGCAGATCAGAGGGGACAATCCCTTCCCTGGCCCTGCTGGTGATGCAGCCCAGGACACTGTTTCTGGGCTCCAGCACATGGTGCTAACTCATGCTGAGCTTCTCATCCATCAACACCCTCAAGCCCTTCTCCTCAGGGCTGCTCTCAATCCATTCTCCACCCAGCCTGGGTTTGTGCTTGGGATGGCTCCAACCCAGGGGCAGGATGTTGCACTGGGCCTGGCTGAACTTCATGAGGTTGGCATGGGCTCCCCCCTCCAGCCTGTCCAGGTGCCTCTGGATGGATCCCTTCCCTCCAGCACATCAACTGCACTGCCCAGCTTGGTGTCCCCACAGACCTGCTGAGGGTGCACTCAATTCCACTGCCCACATGTCCAACAAGGATGTTAAACAGCACCATCCCAGTACCAACCCTTCAGCAACACCCTGGTATAATATCTACAAGGCTTCTACAAGGGAAATGCAGTTGAGAAATACTGGGTGACCTCCTCCTCACAGACACTGTGCTCCTAAACATTTGAAAGGTAGGACTGGCAGGAACCCTGTAGGTCATGAGCCCAGATCCCTCTTTTCCTGAGCACTACACTACACAGCCCCATTAATAAAATTCTTCAGATCTGTCCTAAAACTGGTTACATTTTCGCTCCCTTTCCTCTGGTTGCAAAGCTCTTCCACAGTCCCATTCCCTTGTTGATTCTTCTAATTTCCATCTTAAATTTATTCATGGCCAGTGTATACCCAGTTGTTCATGTGCCAACATTATCTTTTAGCTTAAAAAGCCTCCTAAGCCCTCTGAGGGGTTTACCCTACCCCTCCTCTCCAATTTCTTTATAAGCATGATCATATTCCCTCTCAGCCTTCATTTCACTTGGCTAAATAATGCAGCTTCTCCCATAAAACAGCTCCTCCAGCTCCTCTGCTCTTAGGGCTGCTGATCTGTTTCTGCCTCAACACAAATCCAACAGCCTGAAACTGCACAGAGACATTCCAGATGAGGTCTTCATCCTTAGTTCTTGTTCCTGCACCTAATGGGTGCCCTTCACTTGCTATCACCAGAGGGCTTCAGCTACATGCATCCTCCAGCCTGTCCCAACACACCCAGTCCTGTGCCACCCCAGAGCTGACTGGTGGCTCACTGCTTCCCTCTGGCCCACATCTGTCCTGCTCTGCAGCTGGAAAACACAGCAAGAAACGTGGCTGTCACTCCCAAAGCACCACTCCTGCAGCCTCCTGGGGGATGCCCTTTGAGTCCTGGTTTGCACTTCAGGTGCAGGAAATTCCTGTTTCCATGTCTCTCCTGGATTTGTCACCAGGCTCAGTCATGAGTTTCCTCTTTGTACCTTTTCTTTACTGGGTCAGACCAATGTTGGGTGCTTGCTGTGATGTCCAGCAGCCTGACATGCCACAAAACCTCTCTTCAACTCCTCTCAAGTACATTTCTTTGCCAGTTGGACATTCCAGTCATTCCCTGCAGGTCCTAATACTCCTCTTGGAGTTATTTGTTCACTCATATGAATTCTCCCCTCTTTTTGAGGATGAAAACTCCAGTCAGTTCTCCCACCTTGAACATAAAAGGAAACAAACCCAACAGCTCCTCCTATGCTCTCACAAGCAGCTGATCACCTTCATTAACTTCTCACATTTCTAAAACTCTACCCTTTTATAGACAAAACTCCACTGGCCAACCTGCTGGCCCATCCTCACATCTCATTCACACTGGGTTGCTTAGTCTGAACTCATCTCCTAGCAGAACACAAAAAGGGGTACAAGAGCAGCATCCCTTTGGGGAGCTGTGACAGTGGGGCTGGCCTGGGACTGGTTTCCCTGAACTCTGCAGCAACCAAAGCCATGGGACACCATGGACAAGAGGTTACCTGCTCTCCCTTTGCATCACAGTTCCCTTCTCTCCAGTGAGAACCTGCAGCAAGACGTCGCCCAAATTCTCCACCTCACTTCTCTGTGTTGTGGAAACAGGACTAAAGGCCCAAAGTTATGCACTAAAAAACTAGAAACATTGGGTAAAAAATGCCCCAGAAAAGTGGATTTACCAAAAGGCTTCACAACACATCATGTACTGGCTCCCCAATATCTGACCTGCTCCTTGCACAGCTTGTGCCAGGCACAGAAAGAACCCAGCTGCCTAGAAAAAAAGGCCATTGCATGTAAAACTCACACTTCTCTTGCTTAATAAATGTGAAGCTAATGAGGTTAGTGACTGTGACAAGAAAAAGAAAAGCCTCATCTTTATGAACCCTTGGAGAACTAGATCCTATCTCTGCCAGCCCAGAGCTGGATGACTCAGGTAAGATGAAACCTGCAGAGGTGGCCACTAATTCCATGTTCATTTTCCCATTATTGCACCTGAGACACCTGAGATCACAACTGCACCAATGCCACAGGCCCATCATTTAAATCAATTTCACTTCTTAAATAATTAAAGCACTTTTCCACTTGCCTGGGGAATGAGGGGCAGGAAATAAACAAATAAACCAAGTTCAAAAAAAAAAAAGGGAACCCCCCCCTAAACTCATTGGCAATTCCTGCCTTGTTCTCCTGTGCCACAGCAGGTAAAAAACCCTGCACCCAACCTCACTGGGGTGCTTCCCCATCTGTTCTTTGCTGGGAACCTGGGAGCTAAAACAAGAGCACAAAGGGATCCCATAGGGAGGTGGATTCTGTATTTGGAGCAGGTTTGGGGGGGCTTTGCAGCAAACAGAGCATGTAGAGACTGAAGAGAATCAAAAGAAAGACTGAATAACACAACCCCTCCATTGGGCAAGGCAGGAGGTCCTGCAGTACTTGATGGTGCAATTAAAAGGTGTATCCTGTGCCCAAGGAGCAGAATTGGGATTGCAGAATGGTTTGGGTTTCTTGTTGGCTTTGGTTTCTTTCTCAGTGAGGAGGAGGATAAAAAACTGGTTGCATTTTAACTACCTCATTTCAGGAAGAGAAATCTCTTATGTGAGGAAAAGGAAGAGTGCAGGGAAAAGGTGCAGCCTTTTAAAGCAAGACCAGACTGCAACACAACAGGAATGTATGAAAACCCTTCATCTCCCCATGGCTAAAGCAGCTTTCACAGCCAGGAGCTCAGCTCCAGGCACCTCTGCACAGGTCTCTGCTGACAGCTGCAATCTCCCCAGCAGATGCAGAGACCTCTTGCTGCATCATGCTTTTCTCCTCTCCCATCCCCACTCCCAGCTCAGCTTTCCCAGGAAAACAACTCATCAGCTGCCAGTTAGACCCCAGCCCCTGCAGGCAAGGGGGGTGCCTCTGTTGGCAGCATCTTTAGCCCTCCTGCACTGAGCTGCACCCACACTCAGGGCTGCTTCCCTGGTCAGGGACCCCGTGCAGGTGTGCAAGACATTCACTGAGGGACTCATGAGACAGGCAAATGTTCTCAGCCCACCCAAGTGGGCTCTGCTCAGGCTCCCTTGAACAGAAAGCAGACATCATTCCTGCCACTGAGCACAGCAGAGCTTCCCACTCCCTATCATCCAGCATCAGGGGAACTGACTGATGTGATAAAAGAGGACAGGAGGTCTGCGAGCTGGGTACTGAATGCAGGGTACCCTACAGCTGCACAGTGAGGGTACAGCCAGCACCCCCCAAAACATTAAAAAAAAATCAGGTTGATTTTCTCAACACAGTGTTTTGTCCTTTATGGCTCCTGCAAATCAGCACACACAATGAACTGCTCATCCTCCCCAGCAACTGCTGCATCAAACATAAATAAATAAATAAATAAATAAATAAACAAGCAGTCAGTGGATATTATATTCTTGCAGTCAACTGTGTGATGTGAATTAAAGACAAGAGTTAAAGCTGCAAGGTAAGGTGATGGCCACATGTAACTGGCAAGAAGGGAGCACAGGGGTGTGAGTGGCTCTGCTGGAACCAGATTCCACTACAGAGCCTCCTCTGGGCTCATAAAAAGCTATTTTCAAGGCCTAGGAGGAGCAGCAGGCACTTCCCCTGGCCCAGGCAGTGCTCACCCTGCTCCTGGGGAGCTCAGCTTTCCCTGTTCCCACAGCTCAGAGCAGAAGGACCCGGGACAAACCACAATTGCAGTCCATGCTGTGCAAAAGGGGAAGGGAAATTGGCAGGTGAGGCCAGCACTTGGCAAACCATGCAGGGAGATGTTGCCCTGCAGACACACACACACATCCCCTTGCCCACTGGTTTCCTTATCCCAGGTTTCTTTTACCAGCTTCTCCAAGGTCAGAAATCCCTCTTCTGCTGCCTCCAAGAGCCCCAGGATGGGGCTCAGCTGTGTCACACTCTGCATCAGCTCCTCCCTGCAGCCCAGAGGTCAGCAGCTCTCCCTCCTCTGTGCTCTCTGGGGGGAAAAGGACTCAGAAACACAAGAGAAGAAACGAATCAGTCTGAAGGACCTGACAGGCTCCTGAAGTGAGCGAGACTCTGTGAAAGATCTAAGTGAATAGCAAAGCTCATCCCAGGCACAAGCAGCAGAGGAAAAACCACTTTACTATTCTCTTTAAACTCTATGAAAGGAAAACGTCTCATTTATCTACCAGAGCACAAAGCCAGCCAGCAAGCTGGAGGTTAACAGCAGGTTTGCAAGGCCAGTGCTTTGTGCCAGACTGGGGTAGGAAAGCAGCTCCCAGTCCCCAGGCTCAGCTGTGCAGCCCTCCAGGCAGCCAAGGTGCCTGCACGACAGGAACCCTCCAGGATCTTGGAGGTAAAGCCCTGGGTCTGAGGAAGGACAAAGCAGGGATCCAGAAATTCTCGGAGGTTGCCCAATCTCTTTGCCAGAGGCTACACCCAGTTCTCTACCTGTTTGCTGCAGGGCTTCCCTGCTGCCCTGTTCCTTCTCCAGCAAAGCCAATCTCAGCTTGTGAGTTGCATCTTGAAACAGCTTCAGTAAAGACAGGAGGGTCTGAGCACCCAGGGTCTGGGCATCCAGGGTCTGGGCATCCAGGGTCTGGGCATCCAGGGTCTGAGCACCCAGGGTCTGGGCACCCAGGGTCTGGGCATCCAGGGTCTGGGCATCCAGGGTCTGGGCATCCAGGGTCTGGGCACCCAGGGTCTGGGCATCCAGGGTCTGGGCACCCAGGGTCTGGGCATCCAGGGTCTGGGCACCCAGGGTCTGGGCATCCAGGGTCTGGGCACCCAGGGTCTGGGCATCCAGGGTCTGGGCATCCAGGGTCTGGGCACCCAGGGTCTGAGCATCCAGGGTCTGGGCACCCAGGGTCTGAGCACCCAGGGTCTGAGCACCCAGGGTCTGGGCATCCAGGGTCTGAGCATCCAGGGTCTGAGCACCCAGGGTCTGAGCACCCAGGGTCTGAGCATCCTTCACTTGGCTCAGCAGCTTCTTGAGCACCAACTGCTCCCCCACCTCTGCCAGACAGACAAGCAGAGCCTGCACCAGAGCAGGCAAACACAGGGAGGTTTTGCTGAGAGTGGCAACTGCCCTGCACAAATGGACAAATAAACAAAATCCTGGGGGTTCTGCTCAAGGGGGCAAAAAAATAAAGCAAAAAAAAAAAAAAAAAAAGCACATAGACATAGACCTGAACTGAAGGTCCAGTCTGTGCCACCAGCCCTGGGAAGAGCAGCAGCATGTCCTGTCTGCCAGCCTTTATCTTTACTCTGAGTCCCACTCTTGGGAGCTGGTTCCAGCATCAAACATCTCTTCATTTCTTCCCCTGTGCCAGTAAGTTTAAGAGACTTAATAAAACACGGTTGAAACACCATTCCTTTGGAATCTCAAGGATAGACACCCCAGGCTTCACTGCAGAGCAAGGACAGATCATTTGCACAGCAAGCAGAGAGCATTTTAAGTGGGTCTTTCAGCAGGCTCCATCCTCAGGTCTCAGTGGAGTTGTGTCTCCTAGAGAAAGCTCTGGAGAGGAGGCAGGAAAACTCCCAGTGTCACGGGCTTTTAGCACTCCTGGCAACCACTCCCAGAACTCCAAAACCCAGTGACCCAAACCAGTAACCACAGCCAAACAGGCCCACGCAGTTAGAGAAATAAAAGGAAGAGAAAAGCTGGAGCTCTTGCTCCCATTTCCCCGGAGCCCTTGAAGGCTGCAAATCTTGCCCCTCAAGACACCCACTCCCCAGCTCTCCAGGAGAGGTGCCAGCCTTCCCGAGCAGGCAGCCTTTGCTGGAGCCTCCAGGGATGCTATGAAAGCACCTTTGAAGTGGAGAGCTCAGCCCAGCTCCAGGGAGGGAGGCCACTTTCTGCTGTCATTGTCATTTTTCTTGCCTATGATAAAAAAAGACTGAATTGCAACTGCTTGGGGCCCCACCAGGGGGGTGGGGGGACTTGCTTTTCCTAGTGGGTGTAAACGCTCAGATATGAGGGCAGAGTGACAGAGCAATGACCTATTGCAAAGAGCATCCACAGAGGGGGAGCTGCAGGAAGCTCTTAACCTCTGACTGCTTTTTTTCCCT